CTTTTCATACCTTAGCCTGTGAGAAAAAGAATGATTCAGCGATGAAGATCAATAGATCACAGAATGCAGAAGCCATGCCCCCATTTGGCTGGTTACATATTATCTCTACTTCAACAGTAAAAGACATTAAGTGATATGGATCCCAGATCCACAAAATTCATCCTTATGAAACATGACTTTCTCATTCTGGCTACAAATTTCAGGGACAACTCTATAAATGATATTGCATATAAGAGCTCACTCAATATATGCACCAAATAGGCAGCTCTTATAAAACCACCCCAAATCCAAATTTAAAAAAAAAAAAAAAAGGAAAACCCCACAAAACTTCACAGAAGTAATTTGTACCTGTCTCATCTTCTTATTCTCCCTTTCCCCCAGTCAAAAAAAAAAAAAAAAAGAGCTTGAACAGCAGGTACTAAGACTCAAATTCATTAACAAGATTAAGGTTTTGGTTTTTTTTAATTCAAAGCAAGTAATGAAAGTAGTTCTAAAAAATAAACTAAAACCATAACAATCATAAAATACACACCTGTATAACAAATCTTCCCCTACTACTAGCCAAGAGAGTTTTCACTATTAGTGAAAACATCCTTTATCCTTAAAGGGCCACACTTATGGCCTCTTTCCCTAATTTAAAAATCACAGAACGTTATCAAGTCAAAAAAGGAGAAATTGATCACATGTCCCCGCATCCTTTTTCTGCTTTGTTTACACAGTAGAATATCATTACAAGCACTTCAAAGTTTAAAAAGCCAGTATTTGCAGTTCCTCCTGTAGCTCTCACTACACTGCCCTGGATACTCATCATTCACAATGAAAGGAGAAGTGGTTTGTAACAGCATGGAAAAAAGAATAGTATTCTGCAACTAGAGATCAGACCACATGCATAAAAAACACATGAAGGAAAACAAAGTGACAGGTAATTTTAAATCTGGATGCTATTGCTAACTGAATAACAAGAGCTTTACTAACACTTCTGAGAAAGTTGAAGCCGAGAGGTGACAACAGGACAGTAATGCAGCCTCCTAGAAGTCAGCAGAGAGTAGGAAACATGCACTCCTTTAGAGGGAATGCCAATCCTCTTGTGTACTTCTTCCCAGCAACACAAACTCTTAATCCTCATCTTTACAACACTCTAAATTACAGTGACTAATGGTGTTATCTGGCAAGAAAAGCAAAATCCAAACATCTATTGAAGGACAAACAAACTGGGAGCAAATACTTGCTGCAATAAGGTCTGTCCAAGGATCCAGCCCAATTCTTGAAGGTCAACCAGTATTGGTACACTCCTGATTCAGAGAGTGCCATGAAGAACAGAAGAAGAAATGGTAGCTTGCCAGTGGAGGCAACTGTTTTTTGACAAAGCAGTAATTGTGAGAGTCAACCCAAATTCAGCAACCCCCTTATAACCTTCCCAGGAGCCATATAATTCTGTGTTTTCAGCATACCATCATCGCCTCTGTTGCTTTAACACAGTTCCAGTCTGGGCTTTTTCAGTGCTCTAGCACAGACTTTTCTGTACAGCATGAGTGACAGAGGAGGAATGAAGATTTTCAAATTATTTAGTCTCAGCCAAACTTAAACAATTTCAAGGGGCAAGGAAATCAGACCACTTATTTAGCCCAAAGACTTTTCATCTTGTCAAACTACAATGGCTTTTGCAAACAACAAACCTTCTCGAAAAGGTCATACAATTTCTTTATAATGGAAACTATTAGGCAATCTAAATATAGAAGTCACTACTAGTTCCCTCTGTAGTACAGTACATTAGGGTTCTATTCAGTATTCCTTACTTGTGCTTCTAATGAACTTCAGCAGGAGATTTGTTCAAGAAAGGAGTACTTATTACAGGCCTATGTTCCTTACATTTATATAACATCTTTCATCTAGAAAGATTTCAAAATGTCTTAAAGGTCACTTGTAGAAAATTACTATACTCAGTGTAGTCTCCTATCAAAAGGAACATAGTAATTTCTCAGTACCCAAGCAACAAAACAGAACAACTTAGGTTAGAAAGTAAATACTAAAGCCATATGTACACTGAGAGTTTAGATCCTCAGTGCCATTACCAAACTAATGCCTGGCAATAGTTGTAGAGTAAAAGGCAGAGGGATATCCATCTGGCAGATAGGATCTTAGTTTTACATCTGACTTGTGGCACATCTAACTGGCACCATGCTGGGGCTCTGCTTTAGTACCAGGTGGGAATCAGTTACACCACTTCCTGCAGCATCCAGGATTTCCCTTGGGACATCCCCCTCCAAGGACAGCCCAGTTTAACTATTCAATGCAATACTGCCATAGACAAAAAGTAAATTTAACTCCATGATCTAATCTGCTTTGAAAATTCAGTCTAGAAATAAAATATAATAAAGAAATTGTAAAAATTTGCACTAATCTTAACAATTATATCAATTACTAAAGAATATAACCCACTTCTAACCTCTGGCACAAAAGATAACTCTTTCAGAGAAAAGCAATCATTCAACAATGAAAATGTCCACAAACCCTACTCATACCTGAAAACATTTCTGTAAAGGTAAATGTGCACAATAAGTATTAAAAAAAATTGTAGCTTCAATACAATTGCCTGGTTTTCCACCTGCAAATCTGGTCACATTTAATGAAGTTTAACATGCAGAAACAGGTATTACATATTTCAACACAAAGAAAGGGATTACTCCGAATTTTAAAAAAATGTAGCACTTTACAATGTCTTATAGATAAAGCTCTAATCAGTAAAAAAACCCACAGACTTCTAAGTAAGAATGATTGCACAGCAACAACCACGCTGATGCATCACCTTAATCTAACATCAAGCTTCAAAATGGAAGACTAAAATAAATAAATAATGCATTCTCAGTGCCATCAAAACATGGTAGTATTGTTATCCTACACCATGTTGATGAAAACCATTTTGTTCTATAGGCAACACCAACAAATGATTTACCAAGGTAATAATTTGGTCACTTGGACTCCAAGTCCATAGGAAAAAAGAAAAAAAAGCCCACAAAAAAACCCAAAAAACAAAAAATAACAAAAAACCCCCAAAAAAACCCCAAAACAACATAAAAAAAAAACCCCAAAAAACAAAAATAACAAAAAACCCCCAAAACAACATTAAAAAAAAAAAAAAAAAAAAAACACAAAAAAACCCCAACCACCCAGCTGGCCTTTTGCGCTTCTTTGGCACCCTAATGATTCTCTTCATGGACACAAAGGTCTACTTACTGGCTCAACTCATATATCAGAACTGGAGACAAAAGCTGCCTGGCCTAAAACTTCAACTTTTATCTACCTCATACCATGTGTAAAACCTGGATTTTGCAGTCATATGAAGATGCAACCCATCGAAACCTTAGGGAGAAAAAGAGTCCCATTAACCTACTCAGGGACACATTGTTACAGAGTTTAAGTAGAGAAAAAAAAATCAACCTATCAACGACAGTTTGCATACCAGGTCACTGTCAGGGAGAAAGTGGAAACCAAAGAAAGAAAAAAGACATTTTGTTGCAAAACTATTTAAAAGATGAAATATTCAAGTAGGGAAACTAGAAGACAATGAAAAGATTGGTTTCTCAGGAGCTCCATTTTTTGTTTGTTTGTTCAGTTTCAATGCTTTTATCCAGCTGAGTTTCCAAAGCAATAAAACATAATTTTAAACTGACTTTTCTTATCAAACTGCCTGGATGTTAAAGAGGCTTTTTTCATTATGTTTTTGAAGACTTTGCATTAATTCATCAGTCTTATTTTGCTGAACAATACTGATCTGTAGACATCTCTCTGTGATATAAATATAATGCCATTGTTATAACTGGAAACCATAATATATGTGACAGATGCAATTCCCTCTTGTCACATTTACCTTACTGATTTCCTTTGTTAAAAAAAAAAAAACAAAAAAAAACCCCAACAAAACAAAACACACCACACAAACCAAAGCATGCAACTAATATTCACAACTGAAGTTATGATAAGTCCTTCCAATATTTATTCTGGTTTTCAGAAGTCAGGGAAACTAGCTGCAGAAATAAAGAATAATCATTTTTGTCAAGTAATTGAAGCCAACCTTGCACTTACAATTTCAAACATGTCACATTTATTGCAAGTCATAGTCAGCACTGCTTTGACCAATATCTACAATGTAATTGCGGCTTTTGATAGGATTGCAACTTGATTGCCATGTAAACTTCTCTTGCTGACGGGATTAACGCACAGGTAGGGTAACATTAGGTAAGAAAAGGCTCCTGAGCAACGTTCTCTGCCATTAGCATGCACGGCTACAAGTGCACTCAAGTTCGTTTGTAAAAAGCCTCCATTCCCCAAGCACACATGTTCAGGCCACCAGCAGACACTGGAACCAGTTAATCCACCCCAAGCTTTGTGACTGGTGTACAGAGAAAAGGTCCTCCTGGCAAGTCACGGTTACGCAGGGACACAATTCCATAAAGCACATTTCAGCTAACAATTTCTCCCTAAACGCTGAAGGGTTATAACCCACCCCCTATTGCCCTCGGAAACCTGCATGGTGATGCTCTGTGATGAAAAGCGAATTAAAATAATGCTAATACTACAAATAACAATCAAACAAAGGGGTTATGAATGAGACAAAGTTAAACTCATAGAAAAAAAATTAAATTAATGTAAAAAAAAAATTAAAAGGGTGAGTGTCTCAGCAGGCACACCCTAGGGGACAGTTCTTTTTAGTGCACAATCTCTCCAGGGTTACCCTGGGCAGGCAATTGTGCCCTTCCTGGTATTTATTCTTTCTGTTTCTACACACGCCGGCGCAGCGCTGGGTCAGGTTCAGCGAGGAGCCCCGGGCCGGGGGAGGCTGTGTGTTCCCGCCCCCACCCCTGACAAACGAGACCCGATTCCTGTCCCGGCCGCCCTCCCTCACACCCTGGGGATGCACCGCGGCTCCCCGGGCCCCGATTCTGTCACGGCCGCACGGCCGCTCCCCCGCCGCCCCCGCTCCCCCTCCGCCGGTGACCCACCGTGTGGAGGTGCCCTTCCTCACGTCGCACATCAAGCACTTGAAGGCCTCGGCGCTGTTGCGGAAGGTGCAGACGCTGCAGTCCCAGTACCCCTCGTCCGAGGAGGGTTTCGGCTGCCGCTTCGGCCTGCGGAGACACACGCGCGCCAGGGGCAGCACCGGCCGCGACGCGCCCGCCGCCCCCGGGGCGCCCCCGCCGCCGCCGCCGGCCCCGCGCTCCCGGAGGGCCCGGGGGAACGAGAAAGCGCCGCCGCTGCCCCTACCTGGTCGGGCTCTTCTTGTCTCCCATGCCGGCTCCAGACGCGTCCCGGCCCGGCCCCGGCGCGGCCCTTTGTGCGTTTGTCAATCAGGAGGAGCGCGGGGGGTCTCTGGGCTCTAGCGGGGACCCGGGGAGGAGGAGCCGCCGCCGCAACCTCCAGCTGTCGGGGAAACTCCCGCTGCTGCTGGGCAACGCGGGGGCTGCTGGGGGCGGCGGGCGGAGCGGGGGCGGGACCGGCCGGGGGGCGGCCCCGGCGGGGAGGCGGTGCTGGGCAGAACGGGCAGACCGGCGGCGTGAGTGACTGCGGCCGGCCTGCAGGCTCTTCCCTTAGAGCCGCCCTTGTTATCGCCCAAGGTTGCTCGCGTTAGCGTCCAGATTGCCTTGTGCTGCTTCCCACAGAAATTGCTCCAGGCCGTGATTTACAGTAAGAAACAAACGGGAATGAACTGAATACGAACTTCTGCTTAGAAGTCTTGCTCTAAGCATCTCGTTGGCCTGAGGCCAAGGGAGGACACGATGGGTACCAATACAAAACCAGGTGTTACCTTGTCCCTGTGTGCAAGGTGCTACTTTTGCATTCAAAAGCTTGAAAGTACAGCGTGGTTCTCATGCGTCATAGCAACCTCAGACAGGACACGGGTGTTTATCACCTCTGTTATCAGAGTGCACCAGAGTCCAGTCACAGACTAGGATGCCATTTTGCAGGATGCTGTGCAAACAGAACAAAGAGCACATGTCCTAAGAACATAACAAAGTAGACACAGTTAGACACACAGAGAGCAGAATGCAATCAGACAATGAAATTATACCGGTCAGCATCTCAGTGGCCAAAGCTATTACGGATGCATTGCCAAGAAATGATGGGATTTCGAGAACAAAATATGCCCAAGGGGAGTTTTACTGAAGTGTGTGAAGACAAGACGTGTTTAAAAATTAAGCAAGTGGACAACAGAGAAACTTTCTGATTCTGAAGGCAAAATTGTCAAGACAAATTTCAGCTAGAAATACTGGGATAGAGAATGAAAATGTAGGTAAAATACACAACACATTAGGGAAGCAATTAAAGACCCCTTAATTGGAATGTAGCATTTATGCAAAAGAACTAACACTTTTACAAGATTCACGGTTTCTTTTCTCTCTCTAGGAATGCTGTGTGTCAGCAACTGGAAACCTGTGTAGGATTTACTTGTGTCTGGCCATTTATCCTGAATTCCTTCTGCATTCACATCCAGCTTCCACTATTGCCTTTTTCCTCACCTTATAGTTCTCTTTCTGTATTTGCCTTACTTTTCTCTTTCTTTCTCTATTCAAATTTCTTTCTTCCTTATCTCTTTATGCTTCTCATGCAGTAAATTATGAATGAAATTTATGGATTGCACATCTGACAGTGAGGCATGCCACACACAGACAGCAGGCCTGGGTTCATTTGCATTAAGTTAGACATCTACAGAGACTAGGAGCCCAGACCCAGCTCTCAGCAGGAGAAACAAACTCATGCTGAAGGTGATTGATCTGATGCTAAGACAAGAATACAATTCTCTCACTTATGGGGACTATTTCTTTCCATTGACTATAAAGAGTGCTTTGCACCAGTAGTCCAGAAGTGGATGTTTAAAATCACAGAATTACATGAGGTGTCCCACTTGTGCTTGAACCTGACATTATGTAGAAATCTCTTGATGGGAAGCAGTGGAGAAACCTGTCTCCTTGTGCCCTTTTCCACAGCACACACTTTCTACTGTGTAAACAAACATTATTTCCCTACTTTTGGAAAGTGAGTATTTTGAAACTATTGCTTTCTCTTGACCTTTCCCCTGTCACAGTCTACTTTCTCTGTACCAACTGTGCAAAACAGGACTTCCAGTGATGGTTACAAAGGGCCGAGATATGTTGTAATCCCTCAGGAACCATTCTTGGAGAGGACCATTTCTAATCAGGAGGAGGAAATGCAACTGCCAGCCATAAATGTTATCCCTAACAGAAGAGTAATCTTTCTGGCTGTTGTGTTCCAGACCTTCTGCTTCAAGGTCATCACCCAAATGACCAGCCTAAAAATTATCATGTTTTCCCAGCAGCATTGGGCCTCTTTCCCCTGAGCTCTAACCAACCCTTATTTTGGGAGCTGAAATGTGATTTGGATGGTACATTCAAAAGTTCAGGTGTGTGGGTAATGGTGCAACTCACAGTGGCCATGAGTCTGCGTAAGGGTCTTATTCTTCAATAATCCTGAAAAAGAAAGAAAGACTATTTTCCTTGCATCCTTGTTCCATCCTCAAATGAGAACATCAGAGGAGACCACTGGCATGGCATCAAGCCATCCCATGTCATCTCTGCAACTGAAACAGTGATGGAAGGCATTATTTAGCAGGAATGCTGGAAAGCACATGTAAGAGGCCTGTGTAATAATCAGATACTGAAGAGATTCAGGGGGACTTTGATAAACTTTGAAAAAGTCGAGAATTCCATACTCAGATATTTTGTGGTATTCATGTGAACCCAGAAAACTCATCTGTCTTTGCTAAATATTTGTATGGCATATGATCTAGAAAGTTTGAATGACAAAATTGATGGCATCAGTATTAGCAGTCTTTTTTAAAAAGTGTTTCTGGGAAAGAAAAGGGGTGAATGAAGCATCATTTTGAATACTCTTAAATTTTGACTTTGTCTAGTACAGTTGTTCCAGACCAATTATTTGCCCCCTGTTTTAATTCAGCTGAGCTAAAGTAAACACATATTTGAGACAGAAGGGATGGGCAATATAATTGTATCTTTTTACATCAAGTATCACTCTCTAGCTAGTGTTTGGTCTCTTATTATGTTAAAATTGGCATTTTTTTGTAGCCTGTACAAAGGATATTGAATATTATGATATTGAAAATTATATACACTGATAGTTTTGTGGAAGTTACATATTTCAATGCATGGTATAAATGTTCTGGCATTCATGACTTCTCAGGCAAAAGATTATTCATAATAAATGGGATGTGAAAGAGGATGGTAACAATTTTTAAGCACCTATTGTGTGAAAATTCTTACTGCAGAGAAAATTACAGTTGTTCCCAAAAAAAGGTGTTCACATACAAGGTTATTAATAACAAGCTGGTGTTGTGTAAATCCATACAAAGACTTGCTATTTAGTCAATACTTGAACCATCACTGTGCACATCAAACCTATGCCATTGCTGCATTATCAGCATCTTGAGCAATTAAGTAATGACTTTGTCACTGCTTGAGCTTAAAAAACTTTACATAAAGATGATTATCATTATGTTGTAAATAAACCACATTTTAATTCCTATTCATGAAAAGGAATACTACAAAAGTATAAAATTGTACTAGAATAAATGCATGTTATTCCAGCACGGTGTATCTGTTTTGTTTGGGTTGCACTGATATAATAAAATTAATACAATTAAATCAATTAATGGCAATTTGACTGGCAAAGGGTTTTTTGACATGTTAGATATAATAAGGCCTGAATCGTGGCTGGAATCTATGTGATACTAGGGTGAGGAAAAATTAAAAATCAGAGATAGTGAAAAGTGAAAGCTGCTTGCAGACTCTATAGTAAAGACAATAAGATTGATGACAGGGAGCACTGCCCCTCCAGCCTCGGGAGCAGCCCACTGACTACTCATGCTCCTCTTTCTAGTGTGTGGAGGCAGGAGAGTGAAATTCTGCTTTAGAAAGGGCCAGAACAGAGAGGGACCACACCTAGAATACTTCATAACATCAGAGAGCCTAAAAGCTGTTTTAAAAGGGTTTTCACTTCCTTGCATGTACACGTCTGACGTAAACATATTGTATATTTTTTTGGGAACTATAGGACTTATGAAAGTTGATTCATCAGCATGTCTTTCAGGTTTCACACAGACTGGCCCTGACAGCAGCAGGGATATGCTGTCATGAACCTTGAGTAACGTGGTGGTAAATAAGTCCAGGAATCTTTCTAGGGTCATAATTTGACTGTATGCTTATGCAAATTTGGCTCCAAATTCATAAGCCAGAGGATTGTACACAGAACTCTTGCAGGTTACAGCACAGCAACAATAACATGTGTAAGATCAATAAAAATCTGATCACAATGGTTTGGTTTTTATATTTGTCCTCTGTGAACTGGAATGAAATTATCAAACCACTTACTTTCAGGTACTTGGTAATTATCAAATAATTATTTCAGTAACTGCTTACCTGTCATTCACTCTCCTAGTTTGGGCCCAAACTAGGAGAGTTTCACAAGAAATGAAGGAACATTCTCATCATTCACTAAATATTTCCTGTCCTTTTGCTGGGATTTGGTGGCACACATGATAGTGTTTTAGACTGAAGAAAATTTCTTTTGGGTAGGTCAGATTGTTAATAAATAACACTGACAATTCTATCATACTGCATAAACAAGAGGTTTGCTAAAAACTGCCTGTGAATGCTAAATTGGAGGCATGTCAGGTGATTGCTACAGACACTGGAAAGGTGTTCACACCCTTTGTCTGGACTTAAGGAACCAGTGGGAGTTTTCAACCCAACAAATGGTGAAAGAATGGCTCCTCCAGGGCACATCCTTCAAAGTGGTAAAGCCGGATTTTGCTTTGAACCATCTATAAAGGAAGCAGAGGGAGACAAGGCTCACTAGCATCTGTAAATTTGGATCTCCAGGGTTAAAGCAATTCGAGTAAAGCTGCCCTTATCAACTATTTAAATTTGGGGCTGAATCTTTCCCTGTCTGCTTCTATCAAGGTGAATTGAGATAGTGCTGGGTACATCCTTGCCAAGGGGGAATTTATCTTGGCAAAGCCAGTTTCCTGAGGAGGAATAGGTATGTGTTGCTGAGGCATCTTTAAACAGGAAAAATCTCTGCTGCCACTTCTTGCTGACATCAGCATAAAATCTAGCTGGTTACAGGGGTGAGCACATAGATACCTCAATTAGCAAGCCAAGCTCCCTTGGGGCTATAGGAGAGAAAAAAATCCCACTCTCAATGCTATCTGTTCATATGTGCTCCTTGATTTCATCATGTGCCTTGATCCCTCTTAATCTGCTCCCTCATTCCTTTTCTGCTATTTGTCGTCTTCCTGGTTGTGTTTTTTCTCCTCCTCTTTAAGTATTCCTTCATTCTTCTTCCTGTTTTCTTTTCCTCCTTGTCTTTATGTCTGAGATTTGTCTTTCTACCTGGTCTTCTATATCACTAAT